ACATTTTGATGCTTTAATATTGTTGTGAACGATATTTAGATATATTTTTTTCCAGTGAATGATTATTATATACTTCCAATTATATATAATTGATAAGTCAAATCAAATTGCTTCTGCACGTGATCGCATTCAAAGACCACGTTATTTTTATACGGAGCACATTTCAATTTCTTATCACCAATTCATATTATAATTAGACATCAACTACTCTAAATAAGCTGTTTTAGCAACATTTCTCACATGCTTTTGATAAATATTCTACTGCTGTTTTCTTGAGTCAACTCTGACATGTTTAATAAAGAAACCACGTTTTCTAATTGCGGGTCTCGTGATAAATACCGAGATAGCAACTAATCGAGTAGTCAAGTGACTTTAATCAGTATGTTTTTGAGCATCGAATAATAATTGTCTAAAACAACAACTAAATTATTTAAAACATATTGGTGACTTTGATAATATCCGGTCAATTCAGATGGCTGAGAAGTTCCATAAAGAGATACAGAGCACTTTTATATAAATAATGATTAATAATCACCCCATTATAACAAAAACTAGTTATAACAATTGTTTTATTATCGTATAGAATACCTATCTAGATTCATTAAAAATTTTGCTAGCTCTAAATCACTTATGTTAATTCGCTACATAATAGTCACAGTTTTATTTTGAAGATGTTAAGGGTCTAAAAGACAAAACATCACAACCCATATTTTCTAGCTTTTAAAAATTATTTATCTGGCCCACACAAGTTTCAACCTTTAGTGGCAATCGAGTGAAGTAACTTTTCTTCGAGTAATTAACTTTCCGTTAACTACAAATGTTCCACATTTGCGTTGTTAGGATTTTGATTTGCGTAAACATGCTGATTATTCAATTTTGTGCAAATCACGCTTGGGTGATAAAGAACCCGTTGATGGAACGCTTAAATTAGTTCTTCTTTGTCTCATGGTTTTGACATCAGATGGTTACGTTTCAAAACTGAAAATTTCCGATTTATAAGTGTGGTTCCAGAAATTTTCCTTCCTCAGGTTCAAAAATGCTTCTTTTTCTTATCGTTGATCATTTGAAACTATTTCAAAACACTGTATTCTATAATTGACGGTTGCAGCATCAAACGGAAAAAAGCATGGTGGGTCCAACCAGTCTCTATTTGAAACTTGCTATTATTACCTACTATATTAAGGAAATGAAAAATAAAGATTTGCACATTTTTGACAATCTAATACACCTTTGATCATTTACTTCTCAATAATTACAATCCATAACAACAATAGTTTCAACGATTATTTTTGATTGTTCATATTAAACTTCTTTGATTATATAATTAAAAGTTCTATCTATGGAATGCTTTTGAATCTTCAATTATAAAATTTTCTCATTTTTTTCTTCATAAGTTGCATCATCAGTGGTCAAGCTTCACCCCGATAAAATAACTTTCCAAAATCGTTAACATTCATCAATCATATATTGTAGCTTCAGTAAAATTATATGACTGATGATGGTTGTTCAAAATCGTTAAAATTGTTTCAATTTTAAAGATTAAAAATGAAGATTTTTCCATTAATTGTACAATAACGGCTAATGGCATTTTGAACTACATATGTAGTCTTACTTTCGGAAATACGTCTTTACTTTAGTCCAGTTGCAGTTATTTTCATCTTTATCGGAAATGTCAAATTGACGCTTAATAACTTGCTCTGATCGTTTAGTTTTTTTATTTACGGGCTTTGGATGAATGTTATACAAATTTTGTTTGAAATATTTTTATTGTTATACGGAATAATTTATTTTCCTTTAACGTTACGTTTCAATAAAAATATATTGAAGTATACTTCAGTTAGTATAAAAATAAAAAATAAATAGTAGCTCTTCATAATTTCCTACTCATGTGCGAGTATATTTGGTGTTTGGTCTGGTCAAATAAAATTAGTTAATACTATATTTTTTTTTCAGATGGTGAATCAAGCGTTATTTTCCGTATTTGGTTTGATTTTTGGGGAAACCTTAAAAGACATGGCCGGAGGACATGCGACTGGAATCACATTAGTTATGGCAGTGAGTGTTTGTGTTACGAACTTTTCTGGACTATTAGTGGGACCAATGATGAAGCGTGGTATTAGTGTTCGGACTATTACAATACTTGGTGTATTAAGTGTAGGACTTGGAATGATCTTATCCAGCTTCGCTTCTACAATATGGCATATAGTCATAAGCTATGGCTTTTTTACTGGTGAGTACAAAGTTGTCTTAAGTTGTACATTTAAATAAATATGTATTCTGGATTATTTTACTCATTAATACTAATGCTATAGGGTAAAAAATGTATTAATAAGCGGTCATTCAATAATTTTCAAAAAAGCTTACATCTATAATTCTATGTATAATTTTCGCTGGCGGTCCGATGAATAACTTTTCTAAAAACTTTCGAGATCCGTCCACGTTTGGGTTGTTTAATATTATAACGTAAATTTATAGCTAATTAATTTATTTTGAACGCAGCAACTACTCAAAATATTTATTGCGTAGTTTCGGCACGAAATTGCTTCAATTAAATAAAAAACCAAAAATCGAAATTTTAAAGAAATTTTTTGATTTACTTTTTTTGTGTTATTGTCAGATAATGTGCTCCTGTGGGGTTATTGTTTAAATCTTGTTTGCAAAATGTAGGTAAATAAATTTAAAACATTAACGTGTCTCGGGAATTTTTAGAAGAATTCTTCTCCTTTCCTCTAGGATCGGAGCCTCGACCCTGTATATTTTGAATATACAAGAATGTTGAATATTATGTATACTATTATACTTAGGTATAAGATATTTAAAATGAAAAATTTTGTGTAAAACATTGGTGTTGTTCTATTTTATATTTTACTATGCAATTATTGCAATTAGTCCTGCGTTCGCAATGATTATACATTTACTAATTGTTTGCTATGGCTTTACGTATTATTTAGAAAATTCAACATTAACCTGGCTACATTTTCAACCCCTTTATTTTAATATACTACAATTTTATTTAATATGTTGACAGATATTGATAATATTTTAATGTTTAATATTAGATAAGTGGTTTATCTATTTTGAAACATGAACTTATTAAATATTTACGCCAATTAATTAAAATGTTACAAATGGTTCAAACTCCATTATTCTGAAATATAAATAAATTATTCTGTTTTTTAATAAAGCAAAAAAATTGTAATGAGGAACATATGAGCCTGCATTTATTACCTGATAAAGTCAAAGCTATAAAATATACATACGGGGTGTCAATTTGAAAACTTTAACCCACCCTTAATAGGGTAAAGCAGGGAGAGTTGGATCACTTTTTCATATTTTCTTTACGAACTTTAGGTTTCATATTATCAACTGAAATTGATGGAATTACTTGAAAAAGAAGTATGTTTAAAGTTTGCCGAGTATTTCTCTCTTAAACCGGCGGCGATGATGCAAAATTTATTTAAATAACATTTCGCCAATCTCCCCCACCGGTAGGAGGTAAATGGACCAGGAGTGGTAGAATAGATGGTCCACTATGGTTAATTACTATTTGCTGAAAAATGCAATTTAAAATAATTCAAAAAATGACTAGTTTGGATAATAAAATATATTTATTTCTAAGAAAATACATAAAACTTTTTTTTTCAACATAACAAAAATCAAATTTTAACATGATAATATACCACATACATTAGACTAGTTTAATTTCACTTTATTCGCCGAGTAATGGTCCAGGGCCTAAAAGAGTGCTTGACGTTACTACTACTTTGCGTTACTTGCAGTGCTTTTTCAAGTAACGGGTTTTTACGCGCCTCTTCAGAGTGGATTTGGAAATCCCAAAAGTTTGAGCAGCTTGGTTGATTTACATTTAGTTATTGTCTATTGCTAATCCAGCATTTTTCAGGTTTTTCTAAGTTTTTCTAACCACTGGCCTCTTCTTCTCTTCTGGTAATTTTCCGAATGTACACAGTACGCATCTTGATTAAAATACTGAAATTAGAAAAGTAAGCAAAAGTAAATGCTGGTCCGTCTGTCCTACTAAATATTGGTCCAACTATCCTAAGTGGGACATATGGACCATCACTTCATTGCTATTTGGCTTTCATATACTGGATATTTGTAGGCTAGGGTATTGTGAAAACCCATGATTTATTGTAGTCCAGAAGTTTCCGAATAATAGCGTTTCAAAGTTGCAGAAACAATTAAACTTTACGATTAATACAAGGGATGCAAGGTTACTTCCAGTTTAGTTACATGAAGAAAAAATGTGTATATAGGATCAGTCAAAAAGGCACAGCCCCGCAATGTTACTTTTGCTAATGGAACAGCTTGTATTTTATTCAATAATTGAATTCTCCTCCATGTTCTAAACAAAAATCGTCTAACACCTAATATATTGAAATTTAACAATATAAGAACACTGTTCATGCAGTTGTCTGAGCAAATTTAGGACACTATAACAACGCCGAGTCATTCTTTTGTTCTAAACAGTTAACCTTTAATTGATAAGAATGTTAAAAAATTATTTTATAAAAATTATCTGAGCTTTAAAATGGCACGTTTAAGTGAAACTGAGCGTATTGAAATATTGATGATAGAATATGCGATTTGGGACGGGAAGTACGAGCACATCTCCATTAAACATTTTCTGAGTCAATGGCAATGAATTGGTCGCAGGGGATAATTGCATGACCAGCTCAGTCTCCCGATTTGACTCTACTTTTTTCTATGTGGTCGTATTAAAAATGTAGCTTACAAAAATAGGCCACAAAATATTGAAGACGAAGATAAAATAAGTCAAGAAACTGCTGGTATTCCTCTGAATATACCTACTTCTAAATTTATTAGAAACGTTGGTCCACCGACTTCATTAATGTCAAGAGGCATTTTTTTTTTAAATAAAATATCACTTTCACATGACACTCAATTTTGTCTCTTCTTCTTTCAGCATTTCTATTTGTTCAAGATTTAAAATTCTAAATGTAGTAATTTAGCAAATTATAGAAAAAAATATTTTAACAACCCGATACCATCAGAACGGTTAATATTAAGCATACATGAAATTACAATTTTGTTTAGAATATCGAGGTGAATTCAATTGTTGACTCACAGATATGGAATGTTCCATTTAAGAAAAAGAAGGAAGGTTCGCTTTGCCGTAGCTTTTTGACTAATCCTGTATATTAAATTTTTCTGTAAATAGACTGGAAAGAACATTTGAATTTTTGCATTATTCATTTTGGTCTAGCTCTCTTAGTTGAAGAAATGATCCACCGTTTCCATACATAAACTCTGTATAATTGTTTTTAGTTGATATTAATAAAATAATTCAGTTCACTTTTCCCGAATCTTCAAGTGTGCATGAAATGTCCGACTATGAATATTTGCTAAATAGTGCACATTTGCTAAATAGTGCACAACATTTTTGCAACCAGACGACTTGGTGATTTAGCAATTAGCATGATTTAGTGGTGGCTTGGTGATTTAGCAATTTGACTTGAATTATAAGGCACACATGGGTTATTCATGAATAAAAATAATATTTGCTGAACATTGATCATATCATTCATACACGAGGTATTCGAGAAGACCTCGGTGGACACCTTGTGTATGCTTGCTATATTTAAAACAATACCTACATTTAATAGATATTGCGTAACGATTTAAAAGGGAAATATTTCCATTATGTAAAACGGGTTTTCCTGACTAACGTTATAATATCACATATTCATTTTTTTTCATGAGAACAACATAAACTACTTTCAGAACTGGCTACAAGAAACTCGCTACACATCCCATCATTATCTTGACAAACATACCATTAAATTTCTAAGTTACTCTGATTTGCTAATTAGAATTAGAGTCTAGTTTGTTAATTATGTCGATTTCGAGTTCTACAGAAGCATTATTACAATTTATACGTATTAAACAATTATTAAATACTAACAACAAGCAGTAATTGTCCATTTATTTACAATGAAATATCATATTATCATGTAGTTTGTAGTAATATAATAACTATGTATATGGTTTTCATGAGATGCATAATTATCGAATAACATAGTTACCCCCGGAAAACTATCAAATGCATTTTTTAAATTTGCACATAAGCAAAATTAGGCTGGTTAATAACATTTTTCCCTCGTTCATGCTAAAGTTGCTGTCATAAATGATTTGAATGAATTAACAAAAACTTTCCGAATGTTCACTAATTAATGGTTTTCAGTTCGGTTCAATGATTAGATTGCCATTGTCACGTTATGGGAGCTAAAAAATGTTCTTTCCATATCTGTTTCACCTAATGTTTTGTCAACTTATGACAAAAAAGTTGAAGAAACCGTTTGTTCTAGGGTTGGGTCTAGGATTGGTAGCGTCGTCGACCTTCTTAGCGATAAGCGAGTTCTTCACCCAAAGAAAGAGCACTGCAGTTGGACTCTCAATGGCTGGAACCAGTACTGGACAGATGATAATGCCAATTTTTGTGGGACTTCTGCTGAAAAACTATCAATTTCACGGCACCACACTAATTTTAGGGTGCATTAGTTGTACTGGAATGGTTGGAGCTTTTTTGTTTAAGGTTGGTTCTAAATAAAGTGATATATGTATATTTATTTCATCAACTATCAGTGCCATATTGAAGTTTTTATAGCTTCCTTTTCAATTAATTTATTTATATAAAACGGGATTTATAAAAAAAAAGATGTTTCTTAATACACAGCATTTAAACTTTCCGTAACTGATTTCGAGAACCGAAGGTGGTAATTAACTTAAAAGCTTTTAGGCTTCTTAATCTTATAAAAGAGATTATGAGTTTCATTATTTCGACAATAGTAATTTAATCCTAGTACTTTTTGTTTTAGAACATTTAATTTGTGCAGTGTAAATCATGAATCATATTTTCTGACTACTTCAACTGGTACTAATAAGTAGTTAAATTAATCTAATAACATTAATAAATTGTTTTATAAATTTTAGCCCATGTTCTGTTGTGCAAAGGCTAACGATCCACATGAGGTGGAACAGGGAAAATACGATCTGAATAGTAATGCAAATGTGAACAAGCCAGATATAAAGAAACTTGACAACAATACCTCCGAATCTGAATCTCTGTTATCCGGACAAGTCAGAGCTATAGTCGTGGCAGAAAGCGACCCTAAGACTAAAACCCCATTTATTATTGTATCTAAAGGTAAGTGTCATTAACCATACAAGCAATAAAACACCGTTATATATATTTATAATATAACAAAATTCAAATATATTTTTTCACATTTTAGAAAGTATGCTGCAAAAGCGTACATCCTGCTTAAGAAAGGTTGTCACAACTTGGGACTTACATCTTTTAAAAGACTTCAGATTTGTGCATATGTCGCTTGGGCTTGGACTGGGATATGTGAGTTCGATTAGCTTCAGTACTTTCTTACCAATGTTTTTGCAAGACGAAGTTAAATTTGATATGTGGCAAACCACAACTTGCATGACTGCTTTATCAGCTGCTGATATTGCTGGCCGAATGACTACTTCGGAGATTTTCAGAAAGTTGAAATTAGGAAATCGATCACAATTTATGATCGGTGCTATTTTACTTGCAATAAGTCGTTCACGTGAGTATACGTATATATTTATTTGACTGATCATCTTTATTAAGTTAAACTAGCACATTGTATTGTACTCAAGTTTCTACTAGTTAAAATATCATACAAAAGAAACATACCAATGGAAATTTTGCGTAAAAGATTCAGATTTAGCTTTTTTAGTTCTGTTAATAATTTCAAAAGGTTTGTAAATCGAATAGATCTGTTAAACGAGCTGAAACATATCTTCCCTTCTATACGGAATGATACAAAGTGGGCGTCGTTCCTATGAGGCTGTTTTGGGAGGACAGAAAAAATATATATTTTTTCTGTCTTGCCAAAACTAAATAGTAAAAAAAGTGCAAAAAACTTGTGCTCAATTTGTACCAGTGTTGAGTAGGCCAGATATTTAATGCGTTCCTGATATTGTGTATCTTACATACATGTTAGGAATGAAGCCCTTCTTTGAGGCAGTTATAGGCACAATTGTCCGGTGCTTGGAAAAGAGTCAGTTGTTGTCGTCTCTAGGTCTGGAATCCGGACATCCATATCGTTCACTATCTGCGCAATTCTTGGATCCAATAGTTCAGTGTCTAGCGTTCTTACAGTTTTTGCTATGTTACTGTGGCATTCCCCCATAACTAACATTATGTATAAATGTGTGTTTTATCGCCAACGAAAAGAGCAAAGTAACTATTCAGCTCAACATCGTAATTTTTAATGAATCTGAGACGGTTTTGTGCTTACAGAGCTGATCACTTTCTTTCGTTTCGGAAATTTAATTTTTTTACCAGATTGTTACACGAAACGAAAATGTGTGTTTTCTCGACAACGAAAAAAGCAAAGAAACTTTTTAGCTCTAAATCGGAATTTTTATTCGATTAGAGACGGTTTTGTGCATATACATCTCGTCGCCTCTTTTCGATTCGAAAATTCCACTTTTTTTACCAGACTGGTCCATGAGACGAAAATGTGTGTTTTCCCGCCAACAAAAAAAGCTACGTAACTTTTGAGCAAAAAATCGTAATTTTTATTCGATTTGAGACGGTTTTGTGCATATACAGGGTGGCTATTTTCTGAATCTTTGTATGGGTAACTTCTACATTTTTAAGATAGAGAATCCGTTAAATGGGCAAAATTGGGCAGAATTCGATTGCCTATTCATTACAGTTTTCAAAATTTAGGTACCCGACTTGATTCCTGAAATATCATGAAAATACAAGAAATCAACACTTTTTTAATTATCACATATTACGTAAACTGCTTAACTTAGAAAAAAAGTTAAAACTGCCCTTAGTACAACTTTTTGCGTTGAATCCAATAAACTAGAACTCGTTTTTAAAGTCAACTTGATTTACGATAAACGATAAAAAATAAACTTATGGTTTTTTGAATGGTAATCATAGTTGGCTGTGGGCCTATTAAAATCTGAATTTAACGATATAATTGTTTGTATGTTTTTCTCCTTCTGTTGCCGTAAAACTTCAAAAGAAGATAAAAAATGTGTCGTAGGCTATGGAAACAAGAACTATATTATCACACAAAGCACTAAAAATTAATAATATTAAAAATCTACAATCATAACATGGTCACCTTGTATATCTCGTCGTTTGAGGAATGACGCCAATTTAAATCACCTTGTATATTTACATTAATTATTTGATACTTGAATTAAATTTTTATTGTTTTAACATTTCATTGTATTTGCAGTGTTAGTTTCACTGACTTCCTACAACATGATGCTGGTGTTATCAGTCGTTGTTGGATATATTCGGAGCATCACAGTCATTAACCAGAATTTGGTGATTTCTGAGTATATTCCCAAGCATGAGCTCCCTTCAGCTGTCGGTCTAAATATGTTGGTGAAAGGTTTCTTTGTTATGTCTGTTGGAGAACCCTTAGGTAAGTTTAGTCATCAGTTGTGTCTAATAAATAGGTCCTAGTTTCGTATTTGAGTCAGTTTCATTTTCTTTAATTAATGTATTCGTTATTATAGTAGTTTAAATCATTCCAGATTAAAATTAATTTTATAGAAAAAAACCTTTTTTGTAAGGGTTTACTTTTTAGACATTTTAGTTGCCAAATCCTAAAATTTATTATTTTCGAAACGATAGATCAAAATAAAGTAATTTAATTATGTGAATATTGAATAATTTACTTTGTCCTATTTGTTCAAATGAATTAGTAAAATCGATGTAAACATCTATTAGCAAATTAAAATCGAGTCCAGGCAAAAAGCTTACTGCGAGCTTGCTTTTAACTATATATCTCAATAAGACTTGACCATTTTTTAAATATTTATTAGACAATTTTCAAGAAATAAAATGTAAATATTTTTGTATTTTTCTCCTTCAGGTATGTTGAAAGATGCTTTTGACTATGACACGTGTATACATTTACTGGACGTTATCCTAATTTGTGTGGTCATAAGCTGGACCACAGAAATCGTTTTGTATAAGAAATGTTTAAAGAAACGTAAGGAGAATAATGTTATAACCACCACTCCAGCAGCTTAACTGAAGGGTGCTGGGGAATTTTTAAACAACATTCTACTTAATTAGTTTTACGATGTACATACATAGGCGTATTGAACTTAGTTAGACCAAAATAAAAGTGGAAAATATTTAATTTTCGTAGGTATAGGTACTTGCGTAGTCTGGAAGATTGCTGAACTTTTTCAGAAGTAGTTGTGTATTCACATAAATGATTGTGTGTTTTGAAGATCTACCAGTACTTATTAAATAACTTGTGATATTTAGTTTTAATTGTAGTATAGATTTTGTATTATAAAACTATCTTAAATTCTATATTTGTTATTATGAGTTTGTCGGCAACTAGCTAGATGTCTAATATGTTATACATATAAAGTAAATTATTCTAGCAAATATAATTTTCAATATTTTTTGTTCTGCATAATTAATTTTATATGATATATGTTGTTAAAATGTAACTGCTAATTTCGAAGAAGTTTGTATTTGAACAGGAATTACGTTATTATCCATCAGGGAAGTAAATATTTACAAGAGATTTTTATTTGTGTTATTTTGTTTGTTTATTCTAACGTCCACTTCCTGAAAAATATTCTTCACGGATTTTTGAAGCGAATTATGATATATGATACTGCTCTTATGCTTTGAATAAGCGAATTATGATATATGATACTGCCTTCTGGGAAATTTACTGCAGGCACAAGTACAAGTCAAAAACAGTACAGCCATATTTAGTCAGAACTATCGAGTTCAGTGCTGCATGAATGAATGAAATCACGTATGCACTCAAATTAAATAAGCAATGTAGTGATTATTCATTATTATTTGAATTATTGAATTAACATACACCTAGAGGAATTACATCCGCTGAGCAAATAATAGAGAAATTTAAAAATAAAACTTTAATCTTCCAGTAAATGCTTAAGCAATGAACAATTGGTGACACAGAGAAAGCTTGGATTCTTTATTTATCTGTGAATTCTTTCAGATTTTTTTTTGCTGGAAACAATTTAAGTGATTTGCTTTCCCTTTTTATTGACTCTTGAGTTTTTACATTCTTATACGATTTGGTTTCGATTTGATCTTATATGATTTGATGATTCATTTTCAATTTTTCCACCATTTGTCTGTTTTCTGAATAGTTTTTCATTTATTGTCTGATGCCTCGTCAAGATCAATTTAAGAGCCCTTCATACTTTATTAGAACTTGAAAGCGACATTAAATATACAGGGTTGCTCATTAGTGCGTCAAAGTGCGATATCTCAGTAAATATGAAGTTTACAAGAAAATTCGTCCAACGAAAGTTTTTCACGTTTAAAAGGTCCACATTATAAAATTACTTTCCAATATACAGGGTGCATCATAAACGTGTGGTAGTTACCAACTCTGGTTTTTTAAATGAAACCCCCCCTTTTTTTTGTTATTTTCAGATTGGCCGTTCAATTTTAATTTATGTTTGTTTCAACCGTTTTACCTGAAAAATTTACGATTTACGAGTTATTCGTAAAAATGTGAAAGTTTTGACAGCTACTGGGTTCCACAGAAATCGATGCTGTACACTACCCGCTGCGAATTTTGGAAAACAGTT